GTACGCGTATATTATAGTGTACATTTACAATATATATATTATATACATATAGTGTATAATGGGAATCTTTCACAAGTACAAATCGTTTGGAAGATGACGGCCAAACTAATTATGGCCATTGATTATTATTTATTATATTACCAAATGGTTCTGAATGGAAGTGGGGACGAAAATATCTCATGAAACGACCTTTGCACTAACCGAGATCTCGGTCGCCGGGTCGTTGGCCGGCCGACAACGGGTGCGAGGTTTTTGCCGCCCGTTTTGCCTTGAACTCGTTTCCAATGATATAGGCAGCCGGTTATTCTATTTTATTTTCCTCTTATCTCTCAAACCGGACTAAAACGTTGAACGTAACGTGAAGAACGTTGCTTAACAACATAATAATGTATTTAATTTGTTTATCTTATAATGAAATAAATGTGCCGAAAAAATAATGTAATTACAAAGCCCTATGTATTTGCCGGAACAACACATTTAACGTTAACCCGTCCATAATTCCGGAACACAATTCGTATTCCAGTTCGCATTATTTGACATGTATTTATCGTCACCTAGGTATAGGTAATAAGCTGATATAGTTACTAGTTAGGTTCGAGTGTACGACGACTGTGATAGTGCTGTGTGTCGTATATTATACTATTGCATACAGGATATTCGCTGTGCCAAAAATATAAAACGGTTTATAATAATAATATATATTGGGTAATGCTACGTGAGCGAATTTTAACGCTAAACTTGGGTCGGTCATCTTTTGTGACAACAATGATGACGATTTAATGATTATTTTTTTGCAAAACATAATTATAACAATCGATATCGAGTATTGTTGATGTTCTACAAATGTGTCAGAAAAGCGGATAAAAAAATGTTTTTTTTATTATTCCGTTTTAGTAGACCTTGATGGTTGCAACAATATTGTTGATTTTCAAATCGAGTGTCCTGATTGTCAAACGTTTCCAAACGATAACCCATGACTCGAATTTGACGTACCTACAATTTTTTTTTTAATCGTCTTGTTGGATATAGTTATTGTATAGGATAGATGCGTAAGCCGGATGCCGGAATTACATCCGGGCCGCGGTGTAACAGTCATAGGAAACATATGTATAATGCATATAGTATATGTATTGCGTGAGTATATAATATATTGTGGCTGAGTATATTATTATGTCAGTTATTGTCGGGGAATATATTGTGTTAAAACCACGGCGAATGTATGTCACAGTTGTTGGCCGAAAAAAGTCCCATGTCTACCGCCGTGCACAGTAGAATTATCTTCCAAGAACCATTCTATTTTCGTACGATCGGCTCTTGGCTTGTGTCGCATTTTTACATTTGATACCACCGCTGACATTACTTGTAATAGGCACGGAATAAAATAATAATAATATCTGTAACTATATTCGTGGACGTGAACTTGATTGGTGTAACTGTAGAGAGAGATAGAGGGAGAATTAAAAACAAACGCCGAACAAATAATTGAAAAATAAGACCGCTCAATTCAAGTTGCGAAAGAACGACAAATATTACCGTCGCGTTTTATAGTTACCCACCGACCAAACGATTATGTTGGACTAGCTACTTGCATTACAATATTATTGTTACTATGAGTTGTATTTTATTGCCATTTGTATGATATCTATTATCGCAATGATATTATAATATTCACATTACACACGTTAGTCGTTACAATATAATACAGCGATTGTGGTGGTCAAATGATTTTGTGTCGGGAGGGAGTATAAGACTAATTTTTTTGCACTTTGAACATTTGAACATAAAAAAAATTGAAGATCTTATTGTGTGTTGCTATTTTTTTTATCACTTATCAGAATAAAAATAATTTTGATATCGAAAATTGTGAATAGTTATATCAAATTAATGATTATAGAAAAAAATTATTATTTAGGTACATTATTTTTATATTATAAAACTATTAGTCATATAATATTGAAAATAAAGGTTATTTGTTGGATATATCAACTACATTTCCACAACCGTTTGATCAACGCTGTACAGCGATCATTTTTATTGATACCGATTAAAAAGCTTAAACTATATACAAGATGAGTATAACGTTACACACCCATTGTCTCAAAAAGTGGGTATATGAATACACCTTTTTCAAAAATGGTTTTTGTAGGGTAAAAAAATTATTTTGAAGAACATAAATACTTCTTGAGGTAATGAAGTATTTACTATTACTATTATTATTACTATTTCTGTTAAATAAATCACTCTGTAGTAATCAGTATTATAATAATATGATGTATACCTTCATAATATAGGCAAACAATTAATAAGTAATTAGGGCTTGCCAAAGTCATATACATTCGTATCAAGTTTATATTTTTTAAATTGAAAGAAGTGTAATTAATACCTCCTAATCGACAAAACGTTAAAAATTAACATTAGTCTTTTCTGGCTCCCCCCTCTTTTAAGATTCTAATACCAGTTGCGTATCTATACATACAAATATGGTATATATATATAGGTACCCGACACACGCCAGTACTGGGGTTTGGTAAGGTTTTATTCAACGATGATAATAATAATAATCGCGTACAAGCGAATCCGGGATTCGAAATGACGTCACATGTTAGATATAACGTTTGAAAAACAAATTCGACCTACATATTATAATATTATATCGGTTATTGTGTTTTCTGCGTTGCGTCGCGGCTAATGATCCGACAACACTTGTATAACAACATGATTATAATATAGGTACGATATTACGATTTACACGATGCAATTTCGTTGACTATCAGCTTTGTAGCGAACTGCGTGGCGTTATCGTTATTTTTTCTTTTTGTGTGTTTCCCTTAGTCCTAAGACAAGGGAAACGCATACAACGATGATAACTTAAGTTACTAGCTACATACAATAATCAGATAATCTATATAATTTGCGCATATATCGCGATTTACGCCGTACCTAACTGTACGTAAAGGACGTAATTCGATAGAAGGACGTTCGGACAAAACAAAACCTCCAAGACTCGATACGGTTCGGCGCGTAAAGAATGCCTGGAAATAAAACGTTGGCTGTGTCGTGTACAATCATTATTAAGATCGAATGTATCGTGGAGCATAAACCTATATTATATACGATCGTGTTTATTTTTTAAAGCCCTTTCCTTTTTCGCGTCGGCTGTCACGAAAAGAAATTTTCGAACGCCAACAATACAGAAATTATTCTGCAGCCAAAACTAACAGCCCCTTTGTTGTGTACGGCAACACACGTACTCATATTTATACACACACGCTCACACACACACACACACACACACACACACACACGCCTATAGGTATATATATTATATACTATACATATATAGAAACGTATGTGCATACAGACAAAAGCCGAAATATCTATCACGCGTTGCGCTCATAGCGCGACATTCAAACGTAGGCATTATATTTTTCCATTTAATTCTTGCCGCCGCAGTCCATACAGGGCATAGACATATTAAATTGGTATAATATAGCTCGCAATATTTATTTATTATTTGTAGGTACTCGTAAAACGTAGGTCTCGGATTTTATATACATTTTGCATATTGAATGTATTTTATTTATTTACTCAACTTGGCCAAAATGTAATAATACAGAGTTATATTTTTCAGCATGTTTTAGTAATAAATATACATCTTAGAAAAAATCAATGCTTGGATAAATAGATCTAATTTATTTATTCTAGACTTTTAGAGATCAACTTATTATTGTATATGTACAGCATGCAGATTGTATATAGATATGATATGATATCGTTACGTCGACGATGAATATTATGTTATTCCTATAAATGGGTTAGGTTCTTACACGGTTACACGTATACCTGTGAAAGATGTAACCTGCAACGAGTAAGATGAGTGTTACATAAACAAAAAAAACAAAACGAAATTCGCTCTGTCTGGCAATCCGGTTTGGTAAAAGACAATAATAATAATAATAATAACAAGCCCAATAGTTCATCTGTTCTTCCTCTACAGTAAAATTGTTACGCAAAAAAATGAAAAATCGAAGAGATAAAAACACGACTACCAAAAAACGTTTGCACGATTATTTTACCTTCATATTTATCGTTGTGAGTCATTTTATTATTATATGCAATCGACGAAGTGTTTCGGTAATAGTAAATATTAAATAATAATAACTAACAACAATGATTTGATTATCGTGTCAAATATTTGTGTTAGAGAAATAAAATAAAATAAAATATCGTTTAATCGTGAGGAGTTAACGAGACCAGTCGAAAATCGAAATGAAAACTCCCAAGCTCTTGGAACGCGACCGTTTACAAAATATCGCTAATTCCCTTACCCACTGTAATTTGGGGTGACTTTGGGACAGACGACCGACAACGGTGTTCGGGGTGTGCGCGTGCGCCCACGTGTGTTGTATGTGCACACTTTCGCGCTGCTGACGCTCGGTGGTGAGGAAAATCGAGAAGTCTCGCGGGGGATGATGATGTTTGTTTTCCCGGGGAAAGATGAAGTGGAGTACAAAAGGCGTATAAGTGAGTATAGCACAGTGCGTGTGTTTTGACGATGTTTAAATATACGGCGACGGTGGTGTCGGTAGCGTAGCCGCCGCCGAACGGGTGGGCGAACTCGCACGGCGCTGACCTACTTACCGCAGCGCAGGTTACCGACCTCTTCCCTCTTCGTTTACACCGGCGGCAGCGGAGGCCCCACTTATAACCTTCATGCGATACACAAACAAGCGCTCACACGCACACACACACGCACACGCTCTCCGACCGTCGTCGTTCGGCGGCAGTGGCCTCATCTACCATTGGCGGCCGAAAGTCCCACCAGAAAAAAAAACCGTTCGTTTTGCATTAAACAGACAGAGATTGCACAAGCCTCCGCCGCGTGTGTACGTTCGTTTTATACATAGGTACACATTTTTTTTTTCTATTTCGTCTTTCTCGCTTTTCTCCGCCGCCGCCGCCGCCGCCGCCGCCGCAAACAGCGGCTCGATCATTCTCGAACCAATCGTCATCGATTGTACGCCGGTGCCGCTATCGTTGTAGCCACCGCCGTAACTCAAAAGTCCGAAAACTTTGGGAGAAAAAAATTCCCTCGATCGTACATTCGTTTCGAGTCGCTGTAGAAATGTTTTCGGTTTTACCCGAAAATATATTTTTAAAACATTTTCGGTGTTAAACAATCGCGGTGGCTGGGCGTTACCCCGTGTTCGCGGTCGCTGAGAGATAGATGCCGCGTGACGCGGGTGTTGTGCGCTACGGGGCGTGCTCGTGTAGCTCGCGTGCGACAAAAGATTGAAGAGAAAGTGACAGTATTCGCTTGATGACCGAACGCGCCGCACGGTGTCGGTTGTATTACAATATAAACGTTAGATAGGATTTTCTCCCATGTACGACGCCGCAGCACTCTCATCGACGAGATATTATGATTGAATTTTTTTTTTACTTTCTGTGACGATGCGAATATAGTAGCAATTATTATCATGTGTTACGGGGCAGATTTTTTTACTCTCCGCCGCATCACGTTTTAAATGATCGGACTTGCACGCGCACATATCGACGAATAATATTTTTTACATTAAGCGAGGTAATTGTTTATATCGTTTATGTAATATACTAATACATATTACATAGGTATAGGTATTTTGCTAAAATTTTTTTAAACGTGTTTTTGTGTTTGCGTGTATAGTAAAAAATCGTATAGTTCGCAAAAATATTTCCAACACGCTATTATTATTATACAATAAATTAACCGTTTTGTTTTCGCCAAATTTTAATTGCAACGAAATATTGTCTGTTGAACAGGAATTATGACCCTAACAAGTACCCCGTGTGACCTGAGTACCATGAGTCTGTTTCAAGACCTGAAACTGAAGAGGCGCAAAATAGATTCAAGGTGCAGCAGTGACGGTAAGATTTTGTTTGTACCTATAATACCTATAACAATAGTATTATGTATTTATAACTATTATAATCAACCAAATTTTTTTGGTTGACGATATTTTAATTTTTACTTTGGTAATTTTGAATAAGTATAAGTTAGGTTTGTTTTATAACTAGTATCAATTAAAAAGCTAGCTATTTCAGTTTGCAAAAAATCTCATACAAATCAGATAAAATTGATTTTTGTTTTGATTTGGCTCTATCGTGATAACTGATAAATGATAATAGATAAAAAAAACTATTAATATGTACATTAACATTCTGTGGTTCTTACTTCTTATAAAAAATATAATTTGACTAACTCTTAAGTCAATTAAATTAGTTGTGACAATGGGATATTAACTAATATTTTGAACTCAGGAAAATGTACCATACAAAGGCACCAATATAATTACTTATTTGACTACTGTAAAAATATAAATATATTCCTATTGTATTAAATGCTTAGCTTATATATTATTCCTGTAAGCATTTGGTATCAGCCACTATCAGATACTATTTATTTGTGTCTACTTGTTATAGAAATATAATGATTGATAAACTATATTTGCATATAACCCTTAAAATGAGTATAATATTTCCACAGACCCCCACCAATTTCTTCTTAAACATAAATTGACAAACTGTTAAGTTTTGTGCATAATGATATACACAATTTTAAACATTTTAACCGCCTATATCATAGGTTTATTTAAATACTTACATTAATTCCAATTCATGATTTAAGGTGGTTTAATAGAGTATGTATTGTTTTCATTTAACAATTTATATCTAATGTTATTTTCAGTTGATTTTAAAGTATGATTCACCTAATTTATTTGTTCACATAGTTTTAATCAGAACTTTTGATAATACCTATTCTACGATTTTTTTCCATCCATTTTTAATTATTTAACATAGTCCATTTAGACATTTTAAACAATCAATTCAGTTATTTCACCTTAGATAATATATTTGACAATATTATAGCATTGCTATAATGACTTACAGACACACGTATTCAGTCATTCAGAAGTCTCATTTTTTATAAGATCAGAAATATAGGTATGTTAAAAACTAAATATTTACCATTGTATCCTGTTTGTATACAGTATATATTATAATATTTATGTATAATAACGTCACAGCGAGTACTAGTTTTGATCATTTCTTCGTCGTCAAACCGTAACAACAAGACGTATTTATAGTATATACTTATTAATCGAAATTGACCCTAGCTACAAGCTGTTGGAACGAAATACTTAACCCAGTGACCGAAACAAATCGACATCCCAGATACGACATTTTTGTTGTTTTGACACTGAACCCATCCGTATTATGATGATTCTTTACGAGTTACCGTAATTTATTATCGGGGAAGAAAACTTATGTAGTAAATAGTAGCCGCAATAACGCGCATTAGGTACTATAAAATACTACAATACATGGCAATAAATAAGTCCAAGCCGTCCATAATAGTTGGACACCGGCCGGTTTTCATTGTGCCTAAGGTCATGGGAACCTATCTGCATTGCAACCCCTAATCACGGGTTTGTCACGGTTGTTTTTTGTGCAGCACGCGGGGTTTTCGCCCACGTGGCTGCACCGATAGGACTCATGGGAACTGACCTGACCCAATTCCGTAGTGTCGTTTTTATTTCTTTTCATATAATATCAGAATTATTGTATACATATATCGTTGATTTTTTTCCCCAAGAATCAGACGACCTATATTATTGTATAATTGACAGATAATCGTTGACGACAATAATAACTATATTATTATATATAAAGGTACACGCCTATTTCTAAAACCGAAACCAAATGTTTTCGATTTTTTTCTAACGATTTCACACTTGTTTGTCACTTATATACCTGTCATTCTCCTGACTTACGCGTTTATAGGACATAATATATTGTATGTATATAATATATATATAATTATTATATATATGGTCATATAGGTACCTATTATATTATTTTATAGGTACTTTGTTTAAAAATCACATCATTCAGTGGTTCGACAAAATACATTTCTGTTTATAATGTTACTGTATTATAATTCTCTGCGTATGCGGCTCCATGAGTGCGTGACCTAATAAGGAGTAGTCGTAACGATTTAATAAACTTCGTTTATCTTATCTGTCCTAAACTGCACTAGTGCAGTAACTATACCTATACATTTCTTTTGAGGGCCTATAGGTATGCACGGAACTATACGAACAACAATATTGGTATAATGGTGTACATCCATAAATATAAACATTCATAAATAGGTACTTCTTATTAACAATACTAATTTTAAATATCTTTGTTTGTATTTGTTTGGACAGGTGAGAGCATAGCGGACACTAGTACTTCATCGCCAGACGTCGCTGGCCCGGCGTCCCCATCTAACCGAATGGACAGATCGGTACCATCGCCTGGACTTATCATATCGATGGATAGGTACGATTTATGGTGACATACCGGATAGGGTATTAAGAAACTGAGGCGTCCGATTGTGCTTTACAAGAGATTTTGCAACCACTGACAAATATCTCGTTTTTCAACAAAATCACGGGATTGTAACTACAGTTATAGTGTTTAGTCCAAATTCTATGTTTTTATTTCAAATAAATTTATTTATCACATTAATAATTGTATCGGTACAATGGTATAAAGACAAAATAATATCGGTTTATGTTTTCGTCAGAAAAATTAGTTCTGCATGGAAAAATCTCTTTCAAGTACTAGTTTGATTACAAAATTAAACATTTTTATGTTTATCTTTTAGTATTTAAATTTTTCTGTTTTCATTATGCTCATTCATGATTAACGCACTTTGATCAATGCCCACAGTTTCCAAATACAACTCCGATACAGGAAGGTTTACAGCTTTAGGTCATTTATTTACCTTTTTAGTACTCTATACCATTAAATAAAAATATCTCATCTAAGCGCCGATGTCCATTACTCAATATTATTTGTGGACGTAATATACTACACAGTCGTTTTAATTCGTCTCGTGCGTGTGTGTATACAGAATGGCTTCGTCTCCGGAATGCGGCAGCATGACCACGGACAGCGGGCAAGACCCGAATGACGTGGGAGATGGCGTTAAGGTGAAAGAGGAGATGATGGACGATCAGCAACCAAAAGATGCGATCGGAACGGGATACGAAAACGGGACGGTGGCCGATAACAAGACGGAACCACCGTCGCCGTCGCCATCACCTTCGGCGGTGGTCACAGCGGCGTTGGCGGCGGCGACGGCAGCAGCGCAACAGGAGCAACAGCAGCAGAGACGCGAGTCGGTGGTGATGACCAGCCCGTTAAGTTGCGTTGTCAAGTCACCATCAACCCCACCACCACCATCGTCGTCGTCGTTGTCGCCACCTTTGACTTGGACGACGGCGACTGCTCAAACGAATCCACCTCCGCTGCGGTGTTACACACCCTCCTCCGCCGCCAACTCCATGTCGGTGACGCAGCAGTACCAGCAGCGTCGGCAATCCGTTGTCACCTCCGTGTCATCAGCGTTTTGGAACGCGGGCACGCAGACTTCGCCCGCGTCCACCGCGCCTGGTAACGCATCCGTGGCCACCGCCGCCGCAGCGTCCGTGCTGTCCGTGTGTCGCATCAACGGCGTCCGACCTGAACTCATTGGTGGTGCCGGATTCGCGACTACGGCTGCGGTCTCCGCCGGCAACACTGACATGAAACCACCGGCTGCCATACCCCCACGGACCACTCGGTCTGCACCCACTGTCATAATGGGCGAAGCGGGTAAGTCATTAAAATGCATATTACCGTTTGAAACGTAGGTACCTGTGTAATAATTTGGAGGAGTAGACGATTTTTTGTTGGCCCGAAATTTAGTGCACGGAAAGCATATTTTCTACTTTTTAATAATAATAACAGCCAAAGTGATCAATCATACGACATGTGTTCAATAACAGTGTTGTAATTCGAAGATTATTGTGTTTCGCAGGCGGAGTGCGGACCATGATCTGGTCCAGTCCACCCTCCACCGTGGAACAGTCAACGTCGCCCGCTAGCACGGGCTGCGGTTCCGTACCATCAACGGTCAGCACGCCGTACTGGTCGTCCGCGGCCACGTGGTCGTCGAACACGTCGTCCACTTCATCCCCGTCCCCGTCACCGGCAGTCAGTGAAGAGTCAGCCGCGCATCTGTTGCTGAACCTTGGCGTGGCTGCTGGCCACGATGTGGCGTCTGTCATCAGCCACATGCCCGGTCTCAGGCCCATTGGTAGTCAGATGCAGCAGACGTCAGTGGCTGGTGGTGGAAGTGGTGGTGGTGGAGGTGGCGGCAACGTCACCGGCGGTGGACAGCAGAGCTTTCACGTGCCGCTCAATATGGAACGGCTGTGGGCCGGTGATCTGTCCCAACTCCCGGTGGCCGCTACGCATCAGATGCACGCGCTCAACCTGACGGCCAACACGGGACCCGGATGGCCGATGGCCGGTTCCAATGGCGACAACAAGTCTGCACCTGTCAACGCATACCACCAGATGGAGGAGGCTGACGAACAGGAACAACCCATGGTGTGTATGATCTGTGATGACCGAGCCACGGGTCTCCATTACGGCATTATCACTTGCGAAGGGTACGTATTATAGCATTGAACACAACAGCTGTTTTGTTTTTCTCGGGTTTACTAGCATGTAATGTTATATGATCTATATCCAACTAACATTTGCGAAAGTCGTGGTAAATACAGTGTGAGAGTAAAGCCACACAAATAGTTGGTTGACGAGTTTTTGCTTGCGAACAGTTATATATTATTATAACTACTGATAAGGGTTAGTCGAAATGAAAACACCCGCAACGGTAATATACTTCTTGATGCTATTTCAATAAATAAAAAAAACCTATACATTAAGTATTTTCAGTGTGGATATTTAATTTAAAAAAAATATAAGATGTTTAAATTATTAAGAGCTTAGGTGCATTTGAGATAGAATTAAATACCACCCTCCACCACATTTTGCAATAAATATGAGGTGGGTATTGTGCGCGTATCTTTCGTAACGTGTCTGCTTTTTAATGACGTCACGTCGCTCAGATTTAGTGTCGTGTACGACTATCACATACCTATATTAATTTCTAAGATTTTGATTCCAAATTACGTCTCTTCCAAATTGGGTTAAAGCGCGTATTTTTCTGGCCTGCGGGAAAAACACACGGCACAGCGACAGCGCAATGTCGCAAATGTATCCATAGTGCGGTGTATATACATTAAACGTACGTTTCGTCGTCGCAGTAACTGTATAACTCTTAACGGTACGCCTCGTCTCCCTCAAGGACTACGACTTTTTTTTACTACAAGGTTATAGTATAATAATGGTATTACGTGCACGTTATTTCCATTCATCCGACACAGGAGTCGTTAACACTAACGTAAAAGAATACAACACTTATAGTATTTATTATTATTATTTTTTTTTTATCCGACAAATGTTTAACGTTTTTCTTATGTCTAAACAGATGCAAGGGGTTCTTCAAACGTACCGTCCAAAACCGGAGGATATACACGTGTATAGCTGAAGGCACATGTGAAATAACAAAAGCTCAAAGAAACCGGTGTCAATACTGCCGGTTTAAGAAATGCATCGGTCAAGGAATGGTGTTGCAGGGTAAGCGAATTGTGTCGAGAGCATCATTTAACTATACTAGCAAAATTGAAGACATTATTTTAAAAAATAATGAAGCGAAAATAATACAATAATAATATTTTATTTTGTCGTGTTTCTATAATATAGCCGTCCGAGAAGATAGGATGCCCGGTGGACGAAATTCTGGCGCTGTATACAACTTATACAAGGTAATTAGCTTATTAGTGTTGATTTGTTTTTGTATGTCCCAGTGTTCAGGGGGGAGGATTATGCTATATAAGTATATAACGTTTGTAAGTACATTTGATTCTGTTCCATGATCAATGTCCTTAATTTGATTAATATTGTAATTTTAGGTACTATGTTATTAAATTATTAAAACTATGAAAAATCACGAAATTTGTTTTTATTAAATTTATTATTAATATTCTAATGACTTGAAAAAAATATCACTACTTAACTCATTTTAATGGCTATGCCTCGTCATTGGTTATAGTAAAAGTACTAATGGTACACTGTCTTATATTATTATACATTAATTGTTATTAATTATTAGGGATGTTAATAGGAATTTTGTGTTTAGAAATTTTTTATTTTGCTTTAATGAAGATTTAAGAAATTTAACTACATTATTATTGTTTATATATTATACGCTTACTTGAATGACATTATACCAAATCACTCGCATTATAGGTAAAATATAAGAAGAAGAGGCCCCCGAAGAACGGACAAGTCAAAATGGAGAAGTCCGTCGCATGCACAACGGCCAGTACCATGACCACAATTAAAACAGAAAACCAGGATAACAATTCCTCGTCCATGTCGACTCTGGTCAACGGAACCATATTAAAGACTGCACTGACGAATCCCAGCGAGGTAACTTATACATTTTAAATGTTAAGCCAAAGTGTTAAATTTATGTGATTGTATAATAATCTTATGTTTATCGTCATTGCCTCCTACAGGTCGTTTATCTCAGACAACGGCTAGACAACGCTGTGAGTTCGTCGAGGGACCGTACGTTTTCGATCGAAGCTACGGTGAACATGATCAAGAACCTCATGGACTGCGACGAGTTTCAAGATATAGCCACTCTGAGGGTAAATATATGATATATTAAAATGTTGTTGAGAAATACGAAACTCACAGTATGTAGATAAGTAGATTTTAACATTTTGACATTTATTTAGTAAACGGTAACGTTAATAATACTGTGTCACATTAACTTGGAACAATTTAAATTTTAAATACTTAATCATAATAAATTCATAAAGTTTTACATAATTTTCTTTTGAATCATTTTTGTATAATACTGAATTATTAATATTCATTTCAATATTTTACTAGAAGGCTACTAAATAACGAAACTAAATTAACCTTAAATAACTTATTTACTACACTTAAAACCTTTTTTTTTTTACATTTTTCAATCTTAGCTCATTAAGCAAGTAAGATAATGTTTTCATATGCAACTGGAAATTTTGATGGTTAATATTCAAATTCATTTTCTATATAATAATGTAAAAGGTACGTGATACCTTATTGTGTATTTGTGTACACACAAAATTCCAAAGAATCGGTCACTAATATTACTTATTAAATAAATTATAAAGTATTGTTATTTTGCTGTGTGGAATTACTGGAATTGCACATTATTAAATTGTATCGTGTTTTGTTCATAGAACATGGAGGACTTGCTCGAACACAATTCCGATCTGTCAGCCAAACTGATGCAGATTGGCGACTCGATAGTGTACAAACTGGTGCAGTGGACCAAGCGTCTCCCATTTTACCTCGAATTGCCAGTCGAAGTAAGTCCAGTTAACTATCTCAAAGTTTGGTGTAAAAACAACTCTACTATTCAAGTTTATATAAATTGCATTTAAAAAGAAATATGCGATTTCAATAAATAGTTCAATACCTATAACCTCAATGTAGCATTAAATAATATTTTTAAACAAATTTTAAACTAATACAGTTTTAACTAAACAAAATGTATCATATACTATGATGATTGCATTTCTAATTACGGAGTATGATCAATTTCACTACTTATCTATAGTTGTTATCTATAGATTTGTATTTATTGTCATATTTAACAAATATAATTTATTTATTGAAATGTATTAATTTAAGATAATAAAATATGTAGGAGTAATAAACTTTAATAGTTTAATCATATCTTTTTTTTCAACTCTAAAAACAAGTTGTGGTGGCCGTACTGCCGTATAGTAAGTTTCAAAATTATTATTCTATTATACGGTATGTTTTATAGTCAATGTGTTCAATTCAGACATTTCGTACTACGCCTATATCTAGAGCCATGTGTTTTTACCCAAAAAAAAAATATTCAGATTTTACTTTTTTAGCATACATTATATTATATCGACAATATAGATAATTCATGGAACATCTAGATATTTTATTAGTGCCAAAACACATTTTTTATTTAAAATGTGATTTAAATATTAAAACATAATTTGATCATCATAGGTATACTGTTATTCATTATTTCGGCAACAGTTCAGGCAATATGATTATTATAACTCCTTATATTTATAGGAAACAAATACCTAATATCTATTCGATTTAATTTTACTATTTGTAATTTGTTAGCTAAACTTATTAGTTATTGCAATAGTTCAATATATACATATGAATTGATGGTAGTGTACGGACAGCAGTGGCACTGAACATTGCATACATTTTCCAGCCAGTCCAGCCATGTAGAAATAATTGACTTTAGACTCAATTGCAGTGTAATTAAATCATCCTTAAACACACTGCCATAAATTAAAATACATAAACGGCGAACTGATAGGGGCATGACACGCGTCGCCCTAACGTATTTTGATTACAGTGACTTATGAATTACGTTTTACAGGTACATACGAGACTTTTGACACACAAGTGGCATGAACTACTAGTGTTGACTACCTCGGCGTACCAAGCGATACACGGACCCCAGAAGATATGGAACTCCACCAACATGAACGGTGACCGGAACGATGATTCTGAGTTCCACCAAGAGGTACGAACATCTGACGACGCGATATAATGACGATATATGCATACGCTTATACTTACCATGTTACATATTTCATACTAAACCTGGATTATCCGCAGGTGTTTCAAAATCTGTGTATACTGCAAAACTGCCTGTCCTCGATGATGGGCAAACCCATAACGATGGACCAGCTACGACAAGATGTTGGCGTAATGGTGGAGAAGATCACACACGTCACCCTCATGTTCAGGAGGGTAAAACTGCGAATGGAAGAGTACGTGTGCCTGAAAGTCATAATTATGTTGACACAGAGTAAGTACATTAAATATTACCTCTAGTATATAGATCCAATTTAGGATGGAATCTTATAATAATCGTTGTTATTTTCACTTCTTCTTCTTCTACAGACAATGGTAATACCACTAGTGAGCTGGAAACTATCCAAGAGAGGTATACGTCTTGCTTGAAGACTTATGTCGAACACACTTTTCCCATGCAACCCAATAGGTTGCAAGATCTCCTTCAACGACTGCCAGAGGTAAATATTATACTCTTACAATATAACGACAGTGTCTTTAAATCGAACATATAGGTACTTCCTTGCCTTATTCAAAAGAAATATATCAAAATTGCAGTTGACATTAGAATAATATAATCGTTAAATAACCTAGCCTAACCTAAACAAAACTTTTAGAAAATGTGTATAAAAAATTTTTCGAATATTCTTTTAGTCAATATATTTGAGTAATACTCAAATAATTATGTAATACCTACATAAAATCATTATTTATATTTAGGAAGGTACCTAATTTAAGACAATATAACATATACATTTTTAAATAAACTATTGTTAAACTTAAGTATAGCTAACATTATTTGTTTAAAATGTTTATCCATCATCCGTGCCTACCTATAATTTATTTAATGACACAACAAAATGAAATGTTCATAATTATAAATAACACATTGTCATGACAAATTTTTGTTCAATTAAAATTTGAAAACAAATCACCAAAAAATAAAAACCAAGAGTTCACTACTATTTGAATGCCTTACAACACTACATATATATTTTTTCAATTCCAATACATTCACGTATACCCATCCCACAATAATATCAAAATTAAATTATACTTTTATCATTGATTTTAAAATGTACTCATCCACTTACTACTTTCTGGCCAACTATCTACAGAGTATCAGTTATCAACATCCGTATTTCGATAGTATAATGTAAAATCCTTAGAACGAGGCCTGGGTGTACTTTTTATTCTCCCTCTCCCCCTAAACCCCTAAAAAGATATAAATATTAAATACCATGGAGTGAGATTGACATTTAATTGCGTTGTTAAATTAATTGACGTTAAAATTTTTTTCCACCTTACAGATTCAGTCAGCTGCTTCGCTCTTATTAGAGTCAAAAATGTTTTATGTGCCTTTCCTCTTGAACTCCACGATCAGAAGTTAGTGCGTACATTATGCACGGAGGATAGCTACTGATTGATCATCATTATTATAATAGAATAGAACCAGTTACCAAAATAATAACTATATGTGTAATATATGAAAGTGAAAACGAAGAAGAAATGGAAACGACTAGATTTTGTCACCTTCTCGCGCATGCGTGTGAGAATGCTACCGTATAATTATATAGTTAGTACGTATTCGTCTTGTAGGTAAATTGTGCATTGTTGATTGTTATATTATTATCTGACCGAGAGAAGATTCTTATATTAGGAATATTTTTTTAAGTTTTCTTGTTTTTTTTATGTATTACTAATACGTTTCATTTTGTAACTCTTGAGTTTTTCCTTTACGATTTGGGAGTTATTTAATCGTTGAATCCAGCTATATGAAAGTGTCTATAATGTTAACATAATGTTAGTATAATAATATAATGTCCGTGAACATTTGTCCCACTTCTGTATAAACAACGTATATAAATATATATATATACTCGTATATATATTATTTTAAGATAGTATAATTATTACGATACGAGAAAAGTTTTTGAAAGAGATTATAATAATTATAATAATATATGATGATGATGATGATGATGATATAGGTATACGCGTATGGGTTACCTTTGTATTATTATTTATTATTAATTAGACTTAATTGTAGTAGTAATGTTACATTGTATTTTGAGTGTATAAACTGGCGCGTACGGTACCTAAATCATATTATATATATTTATGTATTAAATACGATAGTAGGTATATGTTTTGTTTAAATGATGTAGGCTGATTGCTGAATTATATTATCTTCTCTGTCTGTGTTTCTCTCCATCCCCCATATATCTCTTTCTCTCTTTCCGAGTGTTTCTACGCGGTATACTCTCCTCCTTATTTTTTTCCAGTGGCGCTAGGCAAAACGTAATGTGCACTGTCATTGTATTTATACTGAATATTGACCCACACACACATACACACATACACACAGACACAATATACTCGAGATGGCTATAAATTATTTTGGTATTTCTGACAACTTTGTGATTTCTTATTAACGTAATTATAATTATTATAGTAAAAATATAGTTTGACTTACATAATTTTCATTCGTCGCGTAATATGTATAAATATATATTACTATCGTACCTATATTATTTTTTAAAAAATAAGTGAATACTTAATTTTTTTAATCGACACACTGCCAGTATATAAATAACAATTTTGCATTATACTACTTTTATATTTTCATAAAAAAAAAAATAAGTAAAAAAATAAAACGTGAAAACTATATTTTTATACATTTTTCGTATAAACGAAAAATTAATTTTAATATATTAAAATAATAGTAATGTAAAATTTAAGTTAAATTAAAAACATTGAATTTCGTTAGATATCTGTCTGTATACATATTAGCATATTTAATATGTATATGCATTTCTCGACATCATCTCAAAGGATGGTAGCTGTACCTACCCATTTGAATTTAATACTTAGAATTTTTCTTAATAAAATCCAAATGCGCTTTGATTGCGACCGTATCGGTCGGATTGTTTTCAAATACCACCCTATTCCTCGAGCAATTTCTAGGTTACCTATACATACAAAACAATATGATATGATATATTTACCTCAAATAGATAACCTATTTAATATTCACGATTATAGATATATATATACCTAACTGTTTAGGTAGTTACACTACACAAAAATATTAAGATTTAAATCTATAGCTGAGTAGGTAGTCAAACATTAAAGTTACCAATTTATTGAAATATAATAAAAACGACTCCTAAACTAAAAAAGAGATATTACTATAAATAGTAAAATATAATATACCTACGACTATAAGCTACGTAGTCTAAGGTGCATAATAAAAACATAAAACGAATATTAGGCTCGCAAAAAATAATGTTGAAAATAGGTACACACATATTATATAATTTATGTTGCAAATATGTTCCTTTAGTTTAACTGATAAGAAAAATATTGTAAATTATGTCCAATGTATTTTTTTTTTATAGGAGTAATATGATATTGGGGATAGGTATTATCTTGTTTAACCTTTTTTTTTTTTTGTTAATTTGTAACCTTTATTATTTTCTTGATCGTTATAAATTGTGTTCCAACATTACTAACGTTGTACTTGAAAACTAGATTTTGTAAAATGTTTAAATGTTTATTATTTGTGTATAAGAAAAATTATTTATAATACTATAATATATATATATATATGTATAATAATAATATTATTATATTATGTAAACACTGACTGTTTTATCCGTGAAAATCGGTGCCTTTGCGCTTGTTTTTTTAAAATCATATTGTAACAGAATCTTTCGTTTTATTAAAAAATATATAATATAATATGTTTGATAGAAATGTAGGCTATAAAAATGACTTAAAAAAAAATCATCTATCGAAGCAATAAAAGTAGTAAATTGGAAAACAAATTTTAATAACTGAATCAAAAGACTTGTTTTATTATACCTATATATATTAAAATAATCATTTTTTCAATTTTATACGAATACTATTGTACAATTTTTATTTTAACATTTTTACGTACACAGCAATTTAACTCTTTTATCGATGGTTGTTTAAAATGTAATTTTGACCGACCAATATAATGTAATATCTATTTATTTCGGTCAGTTCGATTTTTTCGGACGTCTGCAATATGAAAAAGTGATACAAAATGTTTTTAAATTGGAATTAAAATCTTTGTATTTTTTTTAGTTTTAATTAATAAATTGCACTCGATGAATGATTTCTTAAGATGAGTTAAAACAATTTAGTTAGAAACACGTAACAGTTTGTCTCTGAAGCCTGTTATTGTTCAAACCATTCATTAAATGTTCACATAGCCTTATTATATTTCATCGGTGTAATTTATTATAGTTTATAATCAATTTTTTTTATCGTACTTTGATACTGCGGTTTAAGTCAATATAATTTTTTTTGTAACTATGTAACGATGATTTTTATTTTAAACACCCAAAATGATTGTAAAACGTTCTGAAACACTTAACAATAACGTGTAAATATATCTTTTTCTTATGGAATTTTAAGTAATTCATGACACATAAAAGACAATTTTATACGTTTCTTATTTTTTTTTTAAACAACGATTTTCTAACAGAAAACAATTAATATAATATTTAATAAAAAAATTAAAACATAATTGTGATAAATATTTGAACATCAAATGAGCTCAATTGTTTTCCTTTTTTCTAGATAAACGTGAATTTCTCAAAAATATTTTGCTTTTAATTTGACTTTAATATTACATAATATTTACTGCATAATATATACATATTATAATATAGTATATATATATATGTGTGTATTTTTATCATTATCATTTTTTATTAAAATTTTTTTTAATGTGGGTGGTCATTTTTTCTACATTAATACGCATATTATAGCCTACATGACTTAAAACAATACGCTAGGAAATTATTTATATTTTGTACATAAATTGATATTTTAATTATTACAATATTTTATTTTGTAAATAAAAAACGTTCAGTCAGTATTTGTACAAAATCTATAGACATTCACTTTATACCTACCTACTACTCTAGTGTAATATTTTGATTTTTGATACGTTTCAAGTAAAAGATTATTACATATTATTAGCTAGGGTATTAAATTAATTGATTAAACACGCTGATTAAGTTTTGAAAGATAAACATAATTATTATATATATTTGATGTTGTTTGTTTTATTTCTTTTTAAATGTCGATACTAGTGTAATATTGCATTTTGTTTGTTTGTTTTTATTTTAATTTTGTTTTTAATATTATTATTATTATTATTATTATTATTATTATTAGCCTATTTAAAATCTATGATTGGAAAAGAGAAAAAACTTTATTTTTTCTTCTGCAAAGCAAAATGAAAAAACATCTTTTACTGTATGATATCTTACATGTAAAGCCTACCTATTTGTTTCATAAACTAGACAGGTAATTTGGTAAATAAATAATAAAAAAAAAAATAACAATATTGTTTCTGTTGAATGTTTTATTAATTATTAGTTAAAAATCTATATAGGACCTATATATTATGGATGTCGAATAATAAAATAATATTGTCATAGAATTATTGTACTGCTGTACATAAACACGCACAGTACAATTATATCATACATCATATTATTATATATATATATATATATATTACGCTAAAGGTGATTTAAGTTATTGTATGGATTGACACATTATTTTAGTGAAAGTATTAAATGCATAGTTAAAAGTCATACATTTAGCTAGATTTTATGATAACAATGTAATATTTGCAAACTATTTATTATGACAAACTAAGTTTTGGCGACACTGGCACTTAGGGTGACCGCACACTGGTAAAGCAAAATTGACTGAAGAAATGTAAGTCATATTTAGTCATTTTGCTTTAGTCATAATAAAGCATTGTTGTCGCTCACTAGATAAAACATAGTCAAATAAAAATATATCAAGTAGTCGTAAAATGTCGTCCGACGAGGAGGATGTTGCTATTCCTATTTTATGGTTTCTTTTAAGAGAAATTGAGCAGGAAGTAAATAAAAAAAAACTTTGGGTTCATCCTTTGAACTTGAAACGAACTGAAAATAATACAATTAAATGTTTTATTCGTGAACTTCGAAATGACGAATGTAAATTTAGAAATTGTACACGAATGAGTACCGATACGTTTGATTATATTCTAGAAATACTTAACGATGAAATTCGAAAACCTGATACTAATTTCAGAATTCCAGATTAGATATTAGATTCTGAGCAGAGCATAGCGAAATAATGTATTGATTTTACAATGAAGTGTTTAAAAAAAAAAAATTCGTTTATCTTATACAATAATTTATCATTGAATTAAATTATAACATATCCATTACAACGACATGCTTGACAACTACTGAACAGCAGAGTGGTACCCACTTGTCCAACTTTTTTTACATTTACATTTTTTTGCTCCACTCAGAATTTAAAATAGCAGGTTGTATAAAAATAATTCTTTTAGACTTGCGAATTCTTGAACGTATTACTTTTTATTGTTATAATACTATTATAACAAAATAAGTTAACACTTAATAAGGTTATACTTAATTATACTTAATTTTTAACAATATAAAAATGATAATTTATTATAATGAAAAATCAACTGTAATGATGCAAAATATAAGAACTTGAACTATCCGACGAGGAGAAATCTGGAGAACTCACAATGTACTGAATTGTATTAAATTTTAAATTGGTGCAGTTAATGATTTGCATTTAAATGATAAATAAGGTATAATATTAAAATGTGGCGCATTATTGTATCTTGTCATTTCATACGACTTTTCTTGGCTGTCGAGAAGCTGATCAATGGTATTTAATACAATTTTTTTGAATTGACGTTGATTTTTATCATTTAATTTTAAATACTTTAAATAATACTTTAAAAAAAATTCAGGTGTATCCTCATTAATTTTTTTTGGTTGAGTTCTTGTCTTTAGAAATTCCAACATCGGTTCCACCACTCTTTCACTGGGTAACATTTTTCGGTTTGTTCTTGGTTTTTTAAATAATGGTTCATTACTAGATTTTTCATTTTCTGCATCTTCAGTAACTATTGTTTGTGAAATCACTTCTTGTTCAACTGTTTCTAAATTTTATTCAGTATCTGACCCTATAGGTTCTTCAACGAAACTATCGTTTTCTAAGTTATCTATATGCAATGGCGCGACTAGACCATTAAAACGCAGGGTGCTAAATCTGTGAATGCATCACAGAGTTGTGGGGGGGGGCAGAGCCGCCCACGCCCCCTTGCACCTAAACCTACAATACTCGATAAATCAAAATTTTAAAATACTTATTAACACACTTCACCTAAATAAAAGAAAATAAATTAATAATTCTCTTTTTTTTCTACAATATCAATAACATATTGGTACATTTTAATTTCATAATCTTGTTAATAAATGACTAAGATATCATAC